TTTTAAATTTATTTATTACTAGCACTCTACAAGCCGGTAATTCAATGTCACTTTAATGTAAAGAATAACGTTAGGTCGTCCCTAATACAAGTTTCACCGGATATAAAAGTTATCTTAATTTAAGGTGGATCTTGAGCCACCTGTGTCCTTATTCTTGAAACAGGGGAGCAGCGTTCCCAGGAGAACGAGTGTTCTGTCTTTCTCAATGATATGGAAATAATAATATAAGTAATAATGACGGAACACTCGTTCTCCTGGGAACAATGCTCCCCTGTTTCAAAAATAAGGACCCTGAGGGCGGGTATTATAAAACTACTTTGAGAGTTAACTTAAAGTTAACTTCTGGAATAACATGTAATTCAAAAAGTTAACTTCAAGTTAACTGTCAAAGCAGTTTTATAATACCCGCCCTGAATGATCTGATTTCAAGTTCACCTTATCGTTAAAGGTACCTCAGGTACCTAAACACACTGTATATTTTTGCATGACCCTATATAATATGTTCTAAATTGTTTTCACATGCGCCATAATTGTAGTGTTTGTTTCAAAAGTAAATAATGACGTCAAAAGCTATATTTCGCATAAAATCGCATAACTCATGATAAAATCGTAGTGGGCTGCGATATTCAGAAAATCTCAAAAACGTTCCGAGGTACTAAGGTACTTTTCTAAACTGAATACCAAACCTCACCCTCACCCTCAACCCTCCCTCCAGCAGAATGAGGTGAACCCAAAATTTCGCAAAAAAATCGGCAACTTATGTTTCACCCTCTATCTCTTAGCAGGTGGCCGGAAATCAGTTAGCAACTGGAAATTAAATAGCAATTGGAGCATCCTTTCAGAAAAAAAAAATTGAACAAAATCGGCCTGCTATATTATGAGTTATAGTCTTACAAAAAGTGACTAAAAATTGGAGTGTTCGAGTTCGATTGTTGCGTAGTTTAGATACTTTTATTTTGAAGCAACCTTCACACGGACGGAAAAATCGTTTTTTTTCCAAAAAAAAAAGCTCAACCATTCTTTGAGGCAAAAGCGGGTTAAAGTGCTAATTGCAGAACTTCTTTCTTTATATGGAGAAGAGTAAGAATTACAAAAAATATTTAATTACAATATATAAGTTCCTTTATTTATTTTAGAATCAATGCGGATGTTTTTACAGAACTGGCCAATGATATTCAGGGTTTTTTTCCCAAATGGAGTTGCAGCTCATTAAGAGCCTCTTGCGAAGGCAAAACTTGCAAGTCCAAAATTGATATCCTATATACAGAGAAAACAAGTATAGAATTTCTTAAGGTGGCCATTGAGCCATATGCCAGGGTTTTAGAAGCGTGAGAAGATACTTTTAGCTCGATAAAAAGGCTATACGCAGCTGTCTCATCATTGAATGATATTTTAAATTTTGGAATTGAGCTGGTGAGTTTTGAATTTCAACATTTCTCTCGCACAATCCAAAAATCTCGCCAAAAATCAAATGGCTTTTTCCTCAAATAGTATTTGCTTTTTTTAAAAATAAAAGTATGACCAGAAACTTACAAATTAATTTTAGATTGAAACAGACTTCAACAGGAAGTATCCAGACAGTGTCGATATAATTTACTCAACTTGCCTAAAGGTGGCTGAAGCCATCATAAAAGAAGCCAACGAAAGAAAAATTTGTCTACCAGAATGCGATGGTAAGTAGCTTTTATCTATCATAAACTTTTCAACTTTAATACGTTGACTGCAATGCGATTTTCATGAAAACTCCTCTCTCGGGGTCGAGCGTCTCTGAGCCGAAGTTGCTTGAGGCGCAATATACTTCTACATAAGTATATTTTTCTTTATTTACTTTTTAAAAGTTCGTGAAAAACGAAATAACCCTTGGCAGGCTATAGATTGCCAACCACGAGTTGACTCGTGCTTCTCAGTCAGCGTGTTTAATATTAACTGACTGCATTTAATTAACTTTTATTAAAAATTACCTAAAGTTTATTCCACGAAGGTTTGTACTTATGACATCGATGATGTCATAACTTGGAAAAAAAGGTTTGTCGTAGATTAGTTCATATAAATTCAATCGCTTTATTTTGTATTAAAATTTTCAACTCATAATTGATTTTTTCGAAAATATATAAATTCATTAACTGCGTATTATACAGGGTGTCGCCGTTCAACTGGTCAAAAATGCTCGGGTATATAGTGGAACCATAGAGAAGTAGTTCGAGACAGGACACCAATGGCTGGAAGGGCGTCGTTTCCAAAATACAGGGTGTTGAAATTTCACAAAAAAATCTAATTTTTCCCTCTGTATTGAAAACTCTTTTGGACATTTTAATGAAATTTTCAGGATTTAAATGATAGGCAGTGATGCAACTTTTAAAGGAATTACAGTTGATTTGATTTGTGGAGGGACGGACTTGCAGCACATGTGTGTTAAATTTTTTGAAGAAAAAATGGTATGTCACTCTTTTTTCGAAAAAAATAGTATATCAAAGTATAAGTGGATATTAAGATCTTTAAAACACGCGCGATTCCGGAGTGCTCGAAATAGAGCAAGTGTTTTAAAGACCAGTTATCCACGAATACTTTACGCAATTTTTTTTTATTGGTACCTATACGTTCAAATCATAAATTACTAATAGTTGTAGAATGCTAAATTCGTGATATGACATCTGGTATACCTTTCGTTGTCTGACAAATCAATAATTAAAAAGTTAACATTTAGACTTTACCTTTCTTGGGTTGTTGATGTTATCATGGTAACTTTATTAAAACACGCGCGTTTTTGAATGTTGGATTTAAACACGCTGAGGAGTACTTTAAATAAGTAAAATAGGTTATCAATAAAATATAAAATATATATATAGATTTTTTTTGAAATAGTCATTCAATTTCAACAAAAAAGGACCCTAAAGTTTTTGCTCTCTGACGCACCGTCTTAGAGTGAAAAAATGAAATCCATACAAGACTTTTATTGCTCTAAATTTTGAGTTTCAACCTGTTTTTATGAGATGTTTATAAAGTATGTGCCAATTAGGCAATCTCATGACATGTCAAAAATGAAATTCAATATGGAACTTCAGGTCAAGCACTGTGTTGTTATTCTGTATGTCATTGATTCTGTCACATTCTGGACAAACCTCCAGATTTGAATTATCGGATTTTGTGTTTTTTTTTGTGTTTAGGTATTGTGTTAATTAAAATGCCAGCGATTTGCATCGTAATTGGGTGTGGAAGTCAAGGTAACAGGGATCAATTCCTGCTATTTTAAATCATAGGCTTTTGATCTACAAAAATGAATTTTCAAAACGCAGTGCTTTATTTATTGCTGCAATTGAAAGAAAGGATCTAACAGAGGCTTGATTTTCCCTTAATAATGACACAAATGCTCTCCTTATGAACGTCATCGCAATATTCAATATTTGTTTATTTCACAACTATTGAATGGATTAGGATAAGTGATAATCCTTTCTTTAAGCCTTGTGGTTTGTGTCTAACCTCATTAAAGGCAACAATGATGAAAATTTGTTTGAATTAACAAATAAAAGGTGAATATTTTCTTCTCAAACACCGGTTTTTCATCGAAAAATATCCAAATAACATCAATCCTTAAAAAAATTACGAATGACAAATCCGAGAATAAGGTATTTATTTCGCACTTGAGATAATCCATTCTCAGTCCAATCCTATCAATTTGGAGGATTGAATTAAGTACTCCGATCCAGATAAACTTTTAGTCCTGGGTGTTTATTAAAGGATTATTAATCTAATCCACTTAGCATCCGGATACAATGCATGAAATGAACGTAGTCAGTATTCTATTATTTTGAGATGAGCAATGTTTAGTTTTGTACGTTAAAATCTAATTTAAATGAGTTTCGAAGAATCTGAAAATGAGCCATATTCTGCTAGTGAGAAGAAATATGAACCAGGGAGTTTTGAAGACACTAATTCTTCATCTCTATTAATATTAATTTTTGTTCATAAATTAATAGAAAGCATAACTCCAAAAACTATTTTAGATAAAAATGTGAATGTTTTGCTCAATAGACCCTTGATCAATGAGGCATCAGGCTCACAGAATAGTATTAAAAAGAGTAGGACGAAAGCGTTTTAGAGAACCTGAAAAACAAGCAGAGACAGGAGAAACTTAGGCCAGGAATATATTGGCGTATCTGGAAAAAAAGTATCAGCTAAAGTTTTCTCTAACACGAACTGTAACTGCAGGAAGAAGTGTTTTGACAAGATAACTGAGTTAGAAAGGAAGAAAGTTTTTGAACAACTTTGGAAGATGGGCGCATTTTCCGCATAAAATGCATTTATCTGCGGTGTAGTTAAGCAAGACGGCATTCAAAGAAGGCGTCCACGCAATGAAATGAAAAGTTTGAAAAGTAAGACAAATATGTATTATGTAAATAATGAAAATTTGTCACAAAATGTTTGTAAAGAGTATTTGTTACAAACATTTCAAATTTCGAATGGACGAACAGCAAGAGTTCTTCAAAGTGGTCGTACTTCATCACCAGGAGAAGGCTTGCGGGAAAAGCATCCACCAAGCAATAAAACACTGGAAGAGAAACTATTAGAGGTACTTGAGCACATAACTAGCTTCCCTGCGTATCATTCTCATTATACCCTAAGTCATAATCCTAACAGAAAATATCTAGACTCCTTGACTCTATAAAGAGAAATGTTTGGAAAAAAAATGCCATCCAGTAACAGAAGCAATTTATCGGAATACTTTCCACCGAGATTTCAATTTACATTTTCATACCCCATTAAAATACACATGAGTAAAATGTGACAAGTTCAAGGCAATGCCTGAGCGTGCTGTCGTTTAAAATGCCAAAACAGAATTAGAAAATCAACATAAATTGCATTTGCTGAAAGCCGAAAGTGCGAGAAAAAGTCCAGGAAATGGAAAAGCATTAGCTATTTTGAACAGAGGTTTTTTTTTTCCACTTTTGGAAGCTTTGCCTTTTCCGACACTAACGTGTTCATTCGCATACTACAAGAGAAATATGTATGTCTATAATCTGGATATAAAGGAGTTAGCAGAAAAAGAAAAGTCTACCATGTATGTATGGGATGAAGTTACAGCTTCCAGAGGATCTCAAGAAATACGGTCATGTATAGGGAAACATGTTTTGAGCAACGCCAATACTGCAAAGCATATTATTGCCTACAGCGATGCTTGTGGCGGCCAAAATCGTAATTTTAATCGATGTCTCTTTTGGTTAAAATTAATTGCGGACACAAATATTGAGATCATGGATCATAAATTTATGCTTTCGGGACATTCGTTTCTACCAAACGACCGCGATTTTGGACAAATTGAACTATACGCCAAAGATCGAATTAAGTTTTTACCAGAAGACTGGTATGCAATTATAAAGAAGTGTCGATCAAAAAACCCGTTTCCAGTGTATGAAATGAAGAGGGAGGATTTTTTATCAATAAAATCTATAGAAGAATCAGTAAAACGAAGGAAGAAGAGCGAAAATAATACTACTGTATCGTGGCTAAAAATCCAGTGGCTTCGTTTTCGCAAAGATCAACTATACAAAATCTTTTTCAAAGATACTATTAATCAGGACTACCCTTTTAAAGAAATCGACATCCTTCCAAACCGAAAAGGTGCCCCCAGACATTTAAAAAACATAACTATCTCCATTATACACACATAAACTACCAATTAGTGGTAAAAGGAAAAAATATATGGAGGACCTTTTCCAGTTCATTCCCCCTTTTCAACGAGCGTATTTTAAAAACATTTTTGGAAACGCAAATACGGAAGATCTTTGCCCTTTAGAAGAGCACTTGGAAGAGGAGGGAGATGCTTAAAGGATTGATTTAGTTTGATTAGTTAAATTTGTTAATTTTCTGGAAAAATAAACAATATCAAAACTGTAATGTTTTCATTTTCCTTGATGTGGTTACAAGCCATAGTAAGTGGTCCAAGTCAGAAAAACCTAAAAAATGCCTACTAAAACATTTCAATTTTTTTTCTTATTTTACATCAAATATTAAGTTGATGTGTTTACAAGATATTGACAACAAAAAAATGTATTCCACATTGTTCGAGATTTTTCAATAAAGCATGAACTTTGAAGCCTTGTTTCTCAAAATCTAGTTTATGTGACTTGGACCATTATGGCTCTCATATGCTCAATTAGTAAAAGATGAACTTTCTCCATTGCTCAGTAGCTTGCTAAATTTCAGAAAATAATTCTGTTACAATGGCTCCCATCCTTATCTCACAAATTGATTTAAATACTCTGCAATTCTTTTTCTTCTGATGGCAAGACAATAAGTCAACTGTTGTTATTTATAGAGTAGGTAACATATTATTCGTAAATGATAATATTATTATAGATCCCCATAATGCATATGAATTTGAAAATATTAGTGTTAGACCTACTGCATTTTATTTTTAATAGTAAAAACAATTTACATCGCAATTTTCCTGATTTAAAATACTGAACCTAACTAATTTCGTGTATTCGCACATTTATTTATTTTTCCCTGGGTCCTGGGTTCCTTGGAATAAAATGTGCAACAAACACCATTTGCAAATTAAGCCTTTCTCGATTCAGAAATTGGAAAACTTCAACTTCAAGTATATTACCTATGTAGTTCACTAAATAAAACTGAAGATAAATGAAAAATCGGAAATTCTCTTATAAATCGGTTTAATATAAACTTCCCAGAAATTACCTGAAATAGATTCAAGAGTGATTCCACAAAACTTAGGGGACTTAAGCGAGACGAACTGTGTATTTTTCTATTCTCCACGTAGAATCAATGGGCAATGGCCAATTTTTTGTTTTGGAATATGTTCTCCGCAGTAGTCAACTTTATTCGTGAAGCTGACGAAGAAGTCGTTTCCGAGGTTCTAATTTCGTGGCTATCCACAGACCAAAAATTTTGTTAATGGCCACCAGAAAAATATTCGTCCATCTACATATCAAATAGTTTTCCCCCAGAGAAATGTTGGAAAGAATATCCAGTTTTGGTGGAATGTATCTGCGGTATATATTTGTGAAACATATATATACTTGAAAAATTAATATTTTATTTATGAAGCAAAGTTTGTGTCCTAATAAGTTAAGTGAAGTCCACGATGCTAAGGTTGGGCGGGGTTTTGGAAAACCTGCTCCTACAAATTACTACAGTCCCTTTGAGGAGAAACAAAAGGAGAGAGAAATCCGTAAAACCCGAGAACCTTTCGTAGAAAAAAATTGTATTCTTATTAACACTACCGTTAGATTTTATATAAGTTTATTCAGTAAATGGGGCTCCAAGTTATTCTCAAATGTTATTTAGGCAATTACTTCTATTTTTTTAGTTGACGTTGGAAAAACCCAAAAAAAAAGGGTTCGGGCAAAGCAGAGTTGAACCGTTCAAAATATTATTAGCAGTATGCTGTCAAATAGGAATTATATGCCTTCATATTTTAATGTTTCAGATTCTTGGAATCGAGTATTTAACTGCTTCTGATTCGGGTGTCTTAGGTTTGTTATAAGATAGTGGGTATAGTATTCTTTTATTATAGGAGTTGTGACCCAAAAAAAAAACAACTTAGGCTAATTAAATTTAAAAAAAAATCCAATATCTCTCGTGAAAACCTACTATCTGAATTGAAGTAAAAACACTTTTTAAACGAATTATGTAGGTGCAGCATTTCAAGAAAAAGCATGTAAGGTGTTGGCAAATATATTTTTGAAGATTATATTTTTTTGGCGTGCTGATGACATAATAATAATTGTATTATACATAGTACCTATAATAAAAAATATGGTTGGAGGGAGCTGGCGTTATCCTTTTTTGTTATGTTTCTACTAAGGTCAGTTGGGGCAAGTGCACATTTGGGGTAAGTGCGACTCTGTGGATTTTCTTTGTTGATTGGAGTGAATCGATACTCAAATAATAATTTTCGATTAGCACATGTCTAATCCCATCTACCAAAACCGTTTTGGCAACATTGCAACATTCCTTCTGACATTGACTGTTGCAAACGTCAATACATGCTTAGATAACCTAAAAACCGGGTTCGCAGAGAAAATTTTGGAATCAGGTAATTATCATTCAATTTGATATTATTGTCTGTTTTGGTAGTTCTATAATGAAAGCAAGTGTTGAATTATGATGTGTAAAATAAAGGTAGCTTGTAATTTGATTTATTACGAGAATAACCAGGGGGTCGCACTTGCCCCGGACAAAAGTGAGGAAGAGGCAAGTGCGTACCCATAGGGGTGCTCTTGCCCCAAATACTCAATTCATGGGACTTAGATTTGTATTTGTTCCAGCGAAAAAGATGGTGAGAAACTATAAGCGAAAAACGACTAAAGGAACGGCTTATTCGAAAGAACAATTGACTGCTGCTGTCAATGATGTTGCAACGGGAAAAATGGGTCTTAAAAGAGCCAGTAGTTTGTATAAAATTCCGAGAAGTACTTTAAGAGACCACGTCAAAGGCAGAAGGGGTATGAAAAGCAACACATTCGGAAGAGGTGCCGATATTGGTTACGAAGAAGAAAAGAAAATAGCCGAGGGACTTAAAACAATGGAAAAATGGGGTTTCGGGCTGTCAAGATCAGAAGTTCTAGAAAATGTCGCACATTTTGTTAAGCAGAATAAGCTTAAAACTCAATTCAAAGATGGATATCCAGGTGCAGATTGGTTTATAAACTTTCGTAAAAGACACAAGCTATCTATTAAGAAGCCACAAATGGTTGAGGTTGCCAGAAAGAAGAGTTTAGATCCTTTCGTTATTTACGAATATTTCGACCTATTAAAGACAACAATTGATCAACTTGATCTAGCAGACAAACCAAGCCACATCTGGAATTTAGATGAAAGTAGCTTCTGCAGTGATCCAACTAAAACCAAAATAGTGGGTCAAATAGGATTTCCATGTACCCGTACAACAAGTGGTCCAGGTAGAGAAAATACCTCCATTTTATTAGCTTGCAGTGCAGCTGGCGACAAAGGTACAGCATTAGTAATTTTCAAAGGTAAAGATGTTTATGATCAATGGACAGCTCCAGAAGTTCCTGATGGCCCAAAACTTGTATATGCAGCAACGAAAAAAGGATGGATGGAAAGAGACGTGTTTGAAAATTATTTTACAAAAGTTTTGATAAAAGACTTCGGGGAAAGACGTCCCATACTTCTAATTTACGATGGACATTCAACCCACCTGGGAATAAATTTAATACAGGAAGCCATAAAAGAAGGTGTTACGATTTTAAAACTACCTCCTCATTCCAGCCACCTTTTACAACCATTGGATTTGGCAGTTTTCAAATCATTGAAGGATAAATGGGATTCAAAGCTGGTCCATTGGCAAAGACAGCATCCTGGTAAAAAAATTATTAAACAAACATTTTCTACACTAATTCAAGAAGTATGGAATGATGCAAGTCCTACTATAATTCAAAATGGTTTTAAAAAAGGTGGGATATATCCTTATGACAAAAATGTTATTCAGCGTCGCAGTTTCGCTCCGTTAGCCCTGAAAAGATGGGAAGAACATAAAGGCATCACCACCCATATAACTGCTAATAATTCTACCACTACTGATCTTTCCACAACCGCAGGACAGCCAGATATATGCCAGCCATCAACTAGCACCGCACATCAATCCCAACCATCTACAAGCACAGTTCAAGAGAAAGCTAAGGTTCCATTTGAGGAAATTCTACTGGCTACTTTAAAACCTAAGGCATCGGCACAAGAGCTAGAAAAGAAACCAAAAAAAAGAATAGCTGGAGGAGCCGAAATTATTACGAGAGAAGACGTCTTCCAGCGTTTAAAAGAAAAAGAAAGTGACACCAAAAAAATAAAAAAGAAAAAGATACAAGAGCCTGTTGTTTCCTCAGATAGCGAAGCTGATATTGCTGATAATAATATTACTTATGATGATGAAAGTGATGAATATGAGACGTTTGATCAGTTTGTGGAGAATGAGAAGCAGTTACAGAGGGACCAATTTTATTCCGACAGGCAAGTTTCAGAAAAAGCTGTGGGTGATTGGATTCTCGTGAAATTTGCTGGAAAGAAGTCCATTAAGTATTATGTCGGTCAAGTACTACAAGGAAACAACATGGTGAAATTTGCCAGGAAAAAAAAGATCTTAGACAAAAAATCTGTCTTTAAGTTTCCGGATATAGATGACATTTCTGAGGTGGATGACCCGGATATTATAATGCTGTTGCCTCCTCCCACCATCGAAAGAAGAGGCCAAATCTCTTTCCAAGTCTCATTTGATGGGTATGACATACAATAAAGCATTTGTCTTCTTATATTATGTTCATTTACATTGAAAATAAATGTAAACAATATTTGGCGTGTTGTTTCATTTTCACGTTTGGGTTGATATCTCGGAAACTAATAAAGATATCCATGTTCTGCAAAATCGAGAAAAAAGGTAAAATTTAGGGTAAGGCGCAGTTGCCCCGGTTTGCCGCTGCTTGCTATCAGATTCGTTTTAGCTATAGGAAACGCACTTGCCCCGGTTAGCGGGGCAAGTGCGCCCCTATGACATTAAAAAAAAAAAAAAAAATGTCATCCACTATAAAACGTAAATATATGATGTTTAATAACAGATTTTACTTGAATATATTACCAAGTTGCCATATAAAAATACACAACACGAAAACTCATATAGGTACATTTTGAACAT